AAAAAAAAAAAAAAAAAAAAAAAAAAAAAAAAAAAAAAAAAAAAAAAAAAAAGAACACAAAAAAGAAAAGAAAAGAAAAGAAAGTGTAACAGAGGTATGAACAGCATAAGATGTTCTTAAAGTTCGTTCTAGATGCATTTTTGAGATCATTTACGTTCCAGCATTACTTGAAACAATGGTGTTATGGTATTATTCGCCTTGGATTTAAGGTTTAAAATCTCTTGATTAAAAACCTCACCCATTTCCTGTTACTTTAAAATATTGTATACTCGAAATAGCTTGACTGCCTAACTACTAATATCTGCAACTATTTATCTCTATTGTGTTGCTTGTATACTCAGGATAAATGGCGTAATTTGAGTGTCAGTACTGCTTCACAAGGCTCAAAAGAGAAGTCCAGGACTCCCAAAGCTAAAGCTATTGTTGCTGCCTCAATTTCTAACAACCAAAACTCTGCTCTTACTAAGTTTAATGCATCTGCTGATGCTGCAGGAGAAGATCCACCAAACAGCGCCCCACAGGATGGGAAAAATGTCCCAAGGTCTGTTTGTTTCATTGTACTTCCCTCTTTCGATTACTTATAATGAGGTGCATTCAAATATTCGTCATAAAATATGTTAAGCCCCAACCACCACCACCTAAAAAGAATATACAAATAATAGAATGAAATTTATGTGATGAAGAGATGTTCTAAATGACATTAGAAAAAGAAGGGATCATTGTAAACATGCTAATTTATAATCCTAAGTATTAAATGGAGTTGTTCGACTTATTTTATGCATGAGAGAATTCACCCATTACTTATGCAACTGAAAGGAGCAAATAGTATTTGATCAACCTCGAGGGAAATTTTACTCGTCTGAACATGATAAAAGGGATGTTGTGGTTTACCTTTTTTATTCATATTCACTTATTATTTCATTGATGTCTCGTCATTGGTCTTATAAGTATCTGTTGACCAGGTATCATACAATGATTTTTGAAGCTCTTTCAACCATAAAAGATTCAAATGGATGCGACATAGGTACCATGGTTAACTTTATTGAGGTAAGATGGCAGTCTCTTTTCTTTTCTTCTCTTCTTTTTCTTTTTATTGAAAGAGAGATGGCAGTACTCCTATTTGTGAGAATGATCTGCATGGAGATCACCCCATTATATAATATTACTCTTGTCAGACACTCATTTTTCAGGAAGGTTATTCCAACCTACCATTTCCATACTAGCATTATATATTTGTGAAATATGAGGTTGCTTCATGCTTTCTTAGCTGAATTATATGTTATTTATTAACATTAGTGTTTGTATTACATGATACGTCAACTGTTGATTTCATATGATGCAGCAAAGGCATGAGGTGCCACAAAACTTCAGAAGGCAATTGAGCTCAAAGTTGAGGAGGCTTGTTTCACAAGGAAAGCTCGAAAAGGTAAGTTATGATGGCAGTTTATCTGTATGCTGTTATTTTATATGGTTTATCCAAGTTATGTAGTTTGATTATGCATGCTTTTCTTACATCTATATCCCCTTCCCCCACCAAAAGAAAAACTATTTATGCTTGTCGGAAAAATTAAGAACATTAAGTGATGACATGGGATTGTGATTATGAACATTTTTGTAGGAGTTCAAATTTATGAACTTTTTATGCCTGTCACTTGTATTACATGTGGGTTTCTTTATCATCTCTCTGCCGTAATACAGGTTCAGAATTGCTACAAGGTAAAGAAAGACAATTCATTGGCAGTTAAAACTCCTACACCCAAACAAAAGGATGTCAGGCAACGAATGTCGCAATATACTATGGGAGGGTTGATGCCATCAGGGGAGACGGTGGAAGACGCAGCGAAAGCAGCTGCCTACAAAGTTGCTGATGCAGAGAACAAATCTTTCTTAGCTGCGGAAGCTGTGAAGGAGGCAGAGAGAATTGCAAAGATGGCTGAAGATACAGATTCTATGCTACAGATTATAAAAGAGATGTATGAAAAATGTAAGTTCAAGCCTTGATTCCTCTTGAAGAAGCTGTGGCTCTTGGAAACGTCTAAAACCAACCTCTATTTTTCTCTGTGCAATGTTTTGCAGGTTCTCGTGGGGAAATTGTTCTCTTGGCTTAGATAAATGGCTTGTAAGTTTAATGGCCGATCCAATCCTTCGCTGTTTTTGTAATCCGCATGTAAATTCTTCAAGCCAGTGGAATTTTCAGGTTTCTCCATGCATCCCATCAAAATTCCCCGTCGCAATCAAATCAAATTAATTTATAGGTAGATATCCAATATTTCTCTTGATGTTCCAATGAGCTTGTGTTGCTTCCATTAGAATTTGGTTATAACATACCCAATTTTCCTAAGCAGAGACGAGATTAAGTGCATATTTGGTTCATTTTTCTAAAACTAGATTCTTTTTCTTTTCTTTTTCAAACAAAGACAATAAATACAGAGGGGTGTGCGTTGGAACTACAACTATATTCGCTGCATTTAGAACAAAGTACAGACAGACATTTGTGGCTCATTTGAATAACTTACTCATCTTTTCCTTTTTCAGCTGCTGATGTTAACATTCAAGCTAATTTGATTTTGAGTTGGTAAGCTCGAAATCTCGGGCTCGATTGCTGTTTTATTAATTTTGTTAAAGTTCAACAACTTCAAACTACTTTTACCCTTGATATGTTCATAATACGTCCAATTTATTTCAAGTCTTAAGTTATTTCAAGTAAAATGAATTTGAAAAAGGTCATCTCGATTCTAATAATTTATTTTACGGTTCAATTGATTATGTCAATTACTGGGTTGGATTTTGTTAAACGATTTGAAACTACCATTATTCTAATATTTCTTTCATAGAACACGTTTTGAGCTCCAATTATGCTTAAATCAACATTGAAAAAGAATGTAATTTAAAGATTTATTAAAAATATGAAGCATAGTCTCAAACGTGTTGTAATTTAATAAAAAATGTTGGAAGTAATTTTATTATAATCTTTTTAAATTGACCAAATGACAATAAGAATAAGTTGTTATCAGGCAAGTCCACGGTTTTTCAGGGTATAAATGTAATAAAAACAAAATCAAGGGCAAAATCGTAACTTCAATGCGCATATTTGTAAGCTGAGGCCAGAAGGCCAAGGGGCCGCCTTAGAAAACCTAACGCCCTCGCATTATAACTTCACACCTTAAGCATTAGCCTCCTTTCAACTCCACGGCGCAGATCCGAGGAGTTTGTGAATCTCTCGCTATCTTCATACGCTTTCCAATCTTTCTCTCAATCCTTCGTCTCTTACTGATCTACAGGTTTCTTTCTGTTCCTTTAATACATCTCTTCTTGTTATTTATTCATGTTCTATGCTTTTTTCCTTCTTGTTTTAATCTTTTTGGTCACATCTTGCTTGGATTCAGTGAGTTTTTCCCTTTTTCTTATCGCTCAAACCGGTTTGTACTGGATCTGATATCGTTTTATACGGTGTGTACGTTTTCTCTGTTCATATTTTTGTTTCTTTGTTGAATGTTCATACTGTGTTCTTTTTTTTTTCTTTTCTTTTTTTGTAAAATCTGCGCCCTATGATTGGTGAATAGGTTTTAGATTATTATCGTATTTTTTCATAGTGTTTTGAGATTAGGTGATGTCTTGGACATTCGCTATGCGATTATGTGGTCTGGAGTTTAGAAAGTTCCCTAACATGGCTAAATTTTTTCCTCCAAAGCCTTTTTGGGCGGTAGATGATAGGGAAGTATCTATATCTAGGACATTCTTCTGAAGGTGGTACTGTTACAAAATTTTGATTGATACGCACTTGCGCTCCTGTGTAAAATGTTTTGATGTTTCATCTTGACAATATGTCCACGCGAAATTTCCAATGAGTGTTTTCCCCTAGTTCTCATCTGTTTTTCTCCCTCTTTCTTTATACGCTAACTATCATCCTAGCGAAAGCTTTCCTTGCTCTCTAAACGCTCGATCATTCTTTTATAACGTTTAGGGAGTGACAAAGTGGCTTTTGTTACCCGAAGATCTTACTAATAATCTATCGGCCACCTTCGTTTTTTTGTAAACGTCTCCCGGAATGAGGACAGAACGTTAATCCATGCCCTCTGCATTTTTTGATTGCAAGTTTGCCTTTTCTGTTACATTTTCTCTTATGTCTATTACCTCCGTTTGGAGTCTATAATTTTCGAAAATGATTTTAAATCCTATAATTTGATACCTTAGAAACGGATTTGAATTTTTATCTTGTGTGGAACGCTCATGATTTTGTATTTGGATGGTAGATGTATAAGAAAATGAAATCTAATTCGACTAGGGGTTTAATATTGATTTATTGATCGAAAATCAAAGTATGGCAAGGTTAAATCCATTGGGAATAGAAGCACTCAATATTTCAAATCATTTTGAAATAGCTCAAAATAGTAGACCGTTGGGTTTTGATGGCAATGAAAATTTTCACGACAACAAATTTGTCACCATTTTGTTAGCCAATGGGTTTTTGTTTCTTTTCCCACTGATATTTTAAATTTTTTGCAATCTTCTTTTCCTCTATTCATGTTTATATTTTGTTGTGCAGAAGTTAAAGGTGGCGTGAGTTTCTTGTTTTAGATGTTTCTATACAATTTTTTTGCCATAACCTACTAAATGTTTTATACGTTTGGCTGCATACAGATATGGCGGGTTTGGCTCCAGAAGGTTCTCAATTTGATGCACGTCAGTTTGACTCTAAAATGAATGAGTTGTAAGATTGACGTTTTTTAACTTTTTTGAACATCCTAGACAATTTATTCCTACAGTAATATTAAGCTTCATTGCATATTATCTTTATTATGTTTTTTGTAATCTCTTAATTCTAGTGTCCTTCTCTATTCATTCTTATCTCTTGGTCAATGTAGACTTTCAGCTGATGGCCAAGATTTCTTCACATCTTATGATGAAGTTTATGATAGTTTTGATTCTATGGGCCTGCAAGAAAACCTTCTCAGAGGCATCTATGCTTATGGTTGGTATAGCATTATTCTTTTTTCTCCTTGTGTTCAAAGTTATTTTTTGTTCAATATTTATATTGTTTAATGATTAATATTTAAGCAAATCATATAGTTTTTATATTTTTTATTTTCTCTGGTTTTCGCTGGTTTGCAATGTGCTGTATTATAGTTTTAACCTCGTTTATAAAGGTTTTGAGAAGCCTTCTGCAATTCAGCAAAGGGGAATTGTTCCTTTCTGCAAAGGGCTTGATGTGATCCAACAAGCGCAGTCTGGTACGGGAAAGACTGCAACTTTCTGCTCTGGCATTTTGCAGCAGCTTGATTATGGTCTCGTGCAATGCCAGGCTCTGGTCTTAGCACCCACTAGGGAACTTGCACAACAGATTGAGAAGGTTATGCGAGCCCTTGGTGATTATCTGGGAGTGAAGGTTCATGCTTGTGTTGGTGGGACAAGTGTTCGTGAGGACCAACGCATTCTTCAAGCTGGTGTCCATGTTGTTGTTGGTACTCCTGGTCGTGTGTTTGATATGTTGCGTAGACAGTCACTTCGTCCCGACTGCATTCGAATGTTTGTGTTGGATGAGGCTGATGAGATGCTTTCACGTGGATTCAAGGATCAGGTTTGTTATTTTACTTTTATGAATCTGTTCTCACATGCTTGGAAATTTTGTTCTTTTTATTACACTGTTTAGGGCTGTCCGGACTGTGGCTACAAGTTGTTGCCTAGTCAGTGGTTCAAATTTAGTTTAGCTATCTGAAGAGTAATCTAAGTCGTTAATAGCATTCTGGCAGGTTTCTTTTGTCAGTTATGTACTGTTTGAGTTCTGGTTTTAAAGATTGGAAGGTTGTTTCTTTTTCCCTATTGGTTTAGTATTTTTAGTTGTGTAATAATATCTTCGGAGATGTAGAAAATGACGTAGGATGCTTTCAGTTCCAGTGTTCTTTCTCCTATCGTTTACTGAAAAGTATCGGTGAGGGAGTTTGTAGCTGTTCACTTATTTTGTTCCCATACGGTGTGCAGTTTTTTAATTTATTTATTTACCGTTCTCAATGTACAGAATCCATCGCTATAACTAACCGAATGGTTCACTTTTTTCATTGCATTGGAACTAATCATGTCTTGGAGTTGTGGTTTCAATCTTGAAACTCCCCTAACACATGCATATCCCAATTGCAGATTTATGACATTTTCCAGCTGCTACCATCGAAGATTCAGGTTGGGGTCTTCTCTGCTACAATGCCACCTGAAGCTCTTGAGATCACCAGGAAGTTCATGAACAAGCCTGTAAGAATTCTCGTAAAGCGTGATGAGCTCACCTTGGAAGGTATCAAGCAGTTCTATGTCAATGTTGACAAGGAAGACTGGAAACTCGAGACCCTCTGTGATCTTTATGAGACTTTGGCCATCACCCAGAGTGTCATCTTTGTTAATACTCGTCGTAAAGTGGATTGGCTCACTGATAAGATGCGAAGCCGTGACCACACGGTTTCTGCTACCCATGGTGACATGGACCAGAACACCCGAGACATTATTATGCGTGAGTTCCGTTCAGGCTCTTCTAGAGTCCTCATTACTACCGATCTATTGGCCCGTGGTATTGATGTGCAGCAGGTTTCTCTAGTTATTAACTATGATCTGCCAACACAACCAGAGAATTACCTTCATCGTATAGGAAGAAGTGGACGTTTTGGAAGAAAGGGTGTTGCCATCAACTTTGTAACTAATGAGGACGAAAGAATGCTATTTGACATTCAGAAGTTTTACAACGTGGTAATTGAAGAGCTGCCAGCTAATGTTGCTGATCTCCTGTGAGAACGGAAATATTCTGGTGGGTCAAGTGAACAAGGCATCTGGTTTTCTCTTCTCTTCTCTTCGAAGACTCAAGCTTTTCACCTCTATCTTTTTGCTCTACTCTAGTGTCTTAAATTAATATTCTTGAACCTATCTGACCTTGGAAAATGGTGTGCCCTGCACCACTGCAATATAAAGATTGTCAAATTGCTTTTCTGGTAAAATATGGGCCTTTTTTGTTTCTGTTGGGGTTTTGTATTGTATTTGAGGCTTTTTTCTGTTGTTTGCCTTTTTTTTCCCGAAGTTATAAGAACTCGTTGTCTTTTGCTCTTGTAGGTCTTTGATAGTTTTTTTTTTTGCCATCTTTTTTTCCTGTGCCATCGACTTTTTCTCGATCAAGACGTAGAATCATATTGGATTTTCCTCTGGTTTAGTGTTGGAACTTGCAATTAACCATCATTACTATGCTCGAAATTAGACTTCAATTAACATACATTTATAATGTATGGAACATTAAAATGGACAAAATGTCCCTTTCTAACCGGCTAAATTATAAATAATGCAGTTTGAGCGCACTTGATTTTTATGAACATTTAAGTTACACTATCTTGTGAGAAATAT